CTAGAAACTCATTCATTTTGATACTTTTGCTCTTTTGATTCGAATTGGAGATTGAAAAACTCCATTTTCTTGCTTTGGATTGGATGCTTTTGGATTCAACATTGAATTATTTACATTAATCGTAAGTTCCTTTTTTCTCAATTGTGTGTTGATGATGATGGTGTGGGTTAATATGAATTGTGATATTGAATTCTCCATGAGTAGCTAAATCCATACGCTAGGGATAGGGGAAAATTGATTAGGTTCGATAATGATTGCTTGTTCTTGATTGTTCATGCCTATTCGAGTTGTGCTTATTCTAGGGTTAGTAGATTGATCACCTGTCTAACCTAATCAATCAACATGTAGAACCGAGAGGGGAGACGTTGGTCGATTTAGGCTCGTTTAGGATAGACTTGTTCGTAAAAGTATTGTCTATGAGTTGTTAGAATTGATAGTTGATCGTTTACATTCACTCTCTTATTACGAAGAGTTATTGAGAGAGAATCTCTGAACGAGAAACGATTCAATTCTTTTAACCGAGCAATTGACTGCCTGTAGTTGTGTTAGAACTGAAAGCAATTATCCCCGATTCCCTAGCTCTTTAATCACCGAGTAAATTTATCCTGCTATTTAAATTGCTTTTCATTAGCTTTAAATTCTTAGTTGATAAATGAAAACCCAAAAATCACTGAATAGAGTGTTTAGGATTTTCTCTTTTTCGTGATTGAATAATCGTACAATTGAATCCGGCCAACCTTCCTTGCGATACGACCCGGGGCACGAATCTTTCGATTCTACTCCGGTAAAAATATTCACAACAATGTTGTCAGTTGTCGAGCTTTCCTAACGACGTTGAAGGGGTCAGCCCAGGATTGGTTCTACCAACTACGACTAGTTCTATCGATAGTTTTGAGAGGTTTAGCTCTATATTTCTAAATCGGTTTGCAAGCGCCGGAAAGCATGAGAAGCCTTATGTAATCGACACGTAGCAGAAGGAGGGGGAAACTCTGCGGCAGTATGTGTCGCGATACACTAAGGAGTGTGTGGAAGTTCCTTCTGCCTAAGAAGAGATCAAGGGTGGCGGTCTCACGCGGGGGTTGAGGCTTGAAAAATGCAGGGATTCATTGGTGAAGAGGCCGACGAGGTCCTTCGACAAGCTTCTTGAAAGGTGTAGCAAGTATGTGAATATGGAGGAAACAATGATCTGATTTCATTCATAGTGACAAGACAAAGGCGAAGCAGGCAGAAGAGAAACCCCGTCAAACCGATCGACGAGCTGCCCAAAAAGAGTCCAGAGCTGAGAATCAGTTCAGGGGTCCGAGGTATAAGCATTACAAACTGCTTAATGTGCAACAGCAGGAGATCCTGGAGATGATGAAAAAGCGAGGAGAGACCTAGTTGATCGCACAACCTAAGCCTATTCCCCCGCCACTCCGCAACAAATGTCTAATCATATGTCATATTTTTTTCAATAAGTGTATAAGTACTTGAACCATTTCATTTTCTTGCTCACATTTTTGCTATGGAGTCATCGGATGACTCGACTTATGAAGCCATTCACATTTATTCTCCAATAGTGTACACGTGTCCTGCAATAAATACAATCTGGACAGGTGTCAACACATTAAGTGGTGGATGGCTCCATAAGAAAACCATCCGATGACTTCATAGAATTTTTGTTATTGCTCATTGTAAACAAGAGTTAATATACTCATCATAGGCACATTTTACATGTCACGGTGGTATATAAACAATTTCAATTATTTAAATATCATTCTTTAAGAACCATATAAATTAAAATTATGGTATCTTGTAACATAAACATACATTTTTTTAGAAACTATGATAAATCCACACATTTAACTATCAAGTGTAATTATGTTAGTTTAATTTTGATCATGTTTGGTTATTAGTAGATTGATGTAAAATTAGAGGATTGAACGTTCTTTAGATGTTTGACCTATCAAATTCTTTAATAGTTTGTTTGGTAAACAATTTACTTAGTTAATTTTCTTAGCTCTAATAATTAATTTTCTTAGCTTTAAATGCTAACACTGCAAAAAACTAAATATAAAAGAGAATTGAGTAGAAATGACTAGTAGAATAAACATGTCAGTATAAATTTAAGTTCTAAAATAGCTTTACATCTAGTTATTTAACTAACAGTTATTTACAAACAGCTAATACGATTTAAATTATAAAATAGCTATACAATTCGTTATTTACCACACAGTTATTTACAAACAGCTAATACGATCCATTAATCAAATTCGTTATTACAATGCGATGTCAGCTTTATTATAATACAATTATTCATTATCCGATATTAAGGGCCTTAGACTCCATTCATAACCACAGGATATTGGAAAATTAAATTAATCACCGTATTTTGCAATATATATATAATTGCTGGCAAGTTTCAATAATTTTATTCAGTTAGCAATTAATAATAATATGAGTTCATTTAATAAAAATATGTGTTCATTTAATTAAAATATGTTTACCATTTAATAATAATATGTAACTTCCAATTGCACAATTTATTTTGAAAGATTTCATTTTTTATGGTGCCCATTTCTGTAACGTCTTTTTTTATGTCCTGATGAATGCTTTTATTTTGATACTATTTTTTGGTATTATACAAAAACATATTTCACAACTATTTAAATATGACTACAAATATTTCTAATTTCTATTGTAGTCAAATAATAATAAAAAAAATATTTTTTCGAATATTACAAAGATACATCAGATATTTAAATCTTATCCTAGGTTGACGAGTCGAAGAAATTTAGCGATAATGATGGGGATTCTGACGATAGAAAAACAACGAATGTTGTGTATACTAATTAATAACATTTAGTTTCATTTTTAAAATTATTTTTTCTCATTTATTAAGTTATGATTTTTATTTTATTCTATATTTTTAATTACTTTCTCTTATATTATATCGCTTTTCATGCAAATGCACGGGATAAAAACTAGTATACTTTACAACAATAAGATTTACATTCCAACTATTAACACTCCACTAAATAAATCTCCCATCTCCCATATCTATTAATTCAAATTGTGCTGAGCCTAAATGGCAAACTCACATGATTCGAGATCCTATGGGCCAAAATTACATGCTTCGTTATTAGGCTTGGATGAATTTTATTTTACTTTTAATTAAAAAATAATTAGGTCCGAATTATTCATAAATATGTTGATTATTTATGGTCATCTTACATGTATTAATTGAATTTTATTATCATCCTCCCTATATATTATTCCCGAATGCGCTGAGCCTACGTGGCTGTTTCTGGTGCTTCGGAATCCTACTTGGCAAAGAATCATGCTTCGTAATTAGGTTTGGACAAATAATGTTGATATATTAATAATTAATAATCTAGTTTCGGACATTCCATAAATATTATTTAGCTAACTTAGGTATTTTAATATAACTTTTACTAAAATAACCCTTTAATTTTTTGTAATTTTACATAATGAGACACTAAGTGACTAATATATCCCTGGCTTTTGATTTGTTTTCTTCAATTAGCTATTGAATTGTAAATGTATTTTAAAAGTTGATAACTTTTGTATTTCTTATCAGTTTTACATATATAATATATCAAATTAATTATCCTTTGACGATCATCGATTTGACATCCATATTGTATATATGAAATAAATAAATCATATTTATCTTTATAATAATAAAAAATAATAATATTTATTAGAATTCATTAGAAAAATAAAAATATTTCTCAATTGATATATTTATGTTTATTGTAGTTATATGTTGTAAGTCAAAAAATTTATAATATAACAAAAATAAAAAAAGTGTCATATTAAATATACAATAATATATATATATTTGTAAAATGTATTGAATTTTTTAATTACTTTTTCTCATTAATTTTAGATTTTAATAAGAAATTAGCAAGCACCCGTGTAATACACGGGCGTTGTACTAGTTTCTTCACTACAAAAAAACTCTTACATTCCATCGGAAATTTTTCGTTGGAATTCTTTATATTTTCCGCTGGAATAGCTATTCCAATGGATATTCCTACGTATAAAAATTTGTGGGAAAAACGACCGTTGGAATAGCTAAAATCCAACGGAAAATCCTATGAAAATGAATTCCTGCAGCTATTCCAACGGAAAAAATCCGTTGGAATTTCTCAACCATCCAACACTTATTCCAACATAAACTTAAGTTTGTTGGAATATTCATTGGAATTTCCAACAAAAATTTTTGCCGTTGGAATTTTTCGTTGGAATTGAAGTGTTTTCTTGTAGTGCTTATTATAACCATTGAATTGTAAAAATATTTTAAAAGTTAATAACATAAGTATTTTTTATCAGTTTCACGTATATAATATCAGATTAGTCATCTTTTGACAAGCTTCGATTTAATATTTATATAGTATGTATAAAAAGAATAAATTATATTTATCTTTATGACAATAATAAAGTTATTTTTTAATATTAATTACAAAAATAAAATATTTATCATTTAATATATTTATTTTTCAAGTAGTTATATGATATAAGTCATAAAAATTAATATAATAAAACACATGTAAGTCACACAAGTGATGAGTGTCATTCTAATATATAATAATATATATTTTTTGTAAAAAAATAAATAAAATTTAAAATAACTTTTATCATTAATTTTATAATTTAAAAATTATTTTTTAACAAGTACCGTATAATACACGGTGTTGTACTAGTTTCTATTATTATGAATCAAATTAAATCGTTACACGATGTAATTATTATATAAACACAAAAAAAAAAATTGCAATTAAGCCCAAATTAGGTCCAATCTATTCCTATTGACCCGCGTCCCGCAGTCATACAAATGCAACATTATCCCAAATAAAATAGATTTTATCTGTCAACCACTCGTGCAAATATTCCACTATAAATACCCAACAAAGCGAACCCATTTAACAACCCACACACAACCACCCGACCCGAACCTTTCTCTCATTTTCGACCTGATTCTCGACCCGATCAAGATGACCAACCCAATATGCGCAGCGTACAACCAGCACACCGTCACCAAGCCGCCGCCGTGGATCTCCGCCGCTGGAAAATCCTCGGCACCCCAGGACCTCAGGTCCAAGCTCCGAACGGACCCGGACTCCGTCGCGTCTGCCGCCGGCGACTACGGTAACCTCATCCGGGAGGAGCCCGCCGCCGTCCTCCGCCCTTCCTCCGCCGCCGACATCGCCGACCTAGTCCGCCTCTCCAACGCCTGTCCGTCCCCGTTCCCCGTCGCCGCCAGGGGACGCGGCCACTCCGTCGCCGGCCAGGCGGCGGCCCCCGGCGGCGTGGTTGTCGACATGTCCGCCCTGCGCGAGGACGCCGGCCTCGCCGCCGGAGGCGGCGTCCGGGTGTCGTGGAGCCCGTCGCTGGGGTACTTCGCCGACGCAGGCGGCGAGCAGCTGTGGATCGACGTTCTTCGGGCCGGGCTCGAACACGGGCTCGCGCCGGTCTCGTGGACGGACTACCTCTACCTGACGGTCGGCGGCACGCTGTCCAACGCCGGAATTAGCGGCCAGTCGTTCTCGCAGGGACCTCAGATTAGCAACGTCCTTGAACTCGATGTTATTACCGGTAATAATTTCAAAAATTACTATTTTTAACAAATTTCAATTTATATATATATTTTTTTTATTTAAAATTGCCCACAATTGAAGTTTTACTATTTTTTGAACTAATTTATTCTGCAGGCAAAGGGGATTTTGTGACATGCTCGAAAAACGCGAATTCAGAGCTTTTTTTCGCGGTTCTTGGCGGGTTGGGACAGTTCGGCATCATAACTCGTGCACGAATCGTCTTGCAGAAAGCCCCAACTCGGGTAATTTAAAAAAAAATAAAAAAAAAAATTAAACACCAAATTTATTAATGAAATATTAAATATCATTCTAAATTTTTAAATCTAACCCATTTTTTTTTTTAATGTGTATGTATAGGCAAAATGGGTAAGATTGATGTATAGTGACTTCTCAAAGTTCACTGATGATCAAGAGCATCTCATCTCAATCAATGGCGGACCTAACTACGTGGAGGGATCGATCATAACCGATCACAGCCCTCCGAATAACTGGCGATCGTCCTTCTATTCGCCGTCCGATCAATCAAGAATCTTTTCCTTGGTTCAGAAAAATCGTGGCCTAATTTACTCGTTAGAGCTCGTCAAATACTATGATCATGACAATGCCAACACCATCGATCAGGTATATATATATGTCAATTCTGTATGAAAATAATATATGCTTGTTACAAATAAAGTTATAACTGTCTAACGATTAGGTCTGCCTAACCTGCAGGAAATCGAGTTTTTGCTGCAAGATTTGAACTTTATTCCCGGGTTTGTTTTCAAGAAAGATGTCCCTCTAATGGACTTTCTGAACAGAGTCGGGATTTCGGAAAATCAAAGGTCGGAAAATAAGTCGGAGGCTCATCCATGGCTGAATCTCTTCGTGCCGAGATCACGTATCATGGATTTTAACGAAGGCGTTTTCTTGAACATCATTTGTAGAAATAACAAGACGTCTGGCCCCATTCTCTTCTATCCCTTTCACAAAAGAAAGTAAGTCTTTTTTGTGTGCCTTTTGCATTCTTCTCATGCATTTGGAATATTTTGCCATGACTTATTATCGTTCAATTCAAAAGCCCATTAGTCCAAAATTGACTGATAATTGTCAGTCAACCATTGTGAATGAAGTACTTGATGGACGACTTTTGCGATTTTATTCGAAATTCCAAATGGATCGACTAATTAATTTCTCAATTATATCATGTTCAGATGGGACGAGAGGATGTCTGCCGTGATACCGGACGAGGAGATATTCTACACGCTCGGGCTTCTGTCGTCGTGCGGGCCCCACGAGGTCGAAGGCTTTCAAAAGCTCAACGAAGAGATTATAGATTTTTGCGAAAAATGCGACATAAACATCAAGCAATACCTACCAAGTTACAGTTCCAAGGAAGACTGGAAGAAGCATTTTGGGTCCAAATGGGACATTTTTCAGGAAAGAAAAGCAAAGTTCGACCCAAATATGATATTGTCTCCAGGACAGAGGATTTTCAATTCCTCAACTATGGAATATGATATGTGAAGAATTATAATGTTATGATTTATGAATTATGAACTATGAAAATATCGAGGTGTAGATTAGTTTTATTAGGTCAGTTATTGAGTGTTATTAATTAGATTGTGTTGATCAATATATGTAGTAACAAGTTAGTATTGGAGGGCAGTGATAATGCATAAGTCTGAAATAAGATGTATATTTGTGACATGTAATCTTGTTGGTGTTAATAAAAGTATGAAATCCGATGATTGCATGGAGGGGTACTTTTTTTTCCAAATTCAACTTTTTTTTTTTAGCAGATTGTTTTTTCATGTTTGTTGTTGATTTCTCATTATAATTATTTATATAATTGATACGTTACTTTTTAGTCACGATCGAGTCACATACCTTCCATCTTGAACGAGTCTCTGCCTCAAGCTCCTGATAACATAAAATACGTTGAGAAGGGGGTGATGTTAGAAAATTTTCCGACGTCTAAGTCAGAACTGACCCAAAAACTGTGTATACAAGATATGTAAGATTTTTTTTTAAAAAAAGAAAAAACCGAGGAGGGTGGGGGTTAAGACCGAACCCCCAACCTGTATATAAAAAAGACCCTAAATGGGCAGAAAAATCACAATACTACAAATATAATGTCTGATATACATGAAGTCGAACAAAAAAATAAAAACAAAAGCAAGAAAAGTACAAAGAAAAGCTGACAACTGCAGCGAGAAATACAAAAATAAGAGATCCTAATCCGGGGAGAGTCCCGGCGAAAAAGTCAGCATCAAAATGTGACAGATGCGCCAAAAGGTAGGTCCGACTACACAAATATGAATGAAGGGTATCCCATCTGGTCAGGGGCGAAACTAAGAGGGGGGTCGGAGAGGCGTCGACCCCTAAAAACAAAAAAAAAAAAAAAATTAAACTATGGGTGGAGGATTTTGCTGGAACTGGAAAGTTTTCCTTTGAGCGCGCATGTTGGGCCCTCCCCGATTTCATGCGATACATACATGGCTGGAGGGGCACCACAAGTTTTGTCGTGAAATTTTTTTTAAAGGCAAATTGGGCTCTCCCCGAAACGGGATCCTGGTTTCAGGACAAGGAGAACTATAACAGCAACATAATTTAATAATTTATTTATTTTTATTATATTTTGAGTTGGTTAATTAGCCGACTTGTGGTGTACCGACGAGACTAAAAAACCGAGTCGATCATTACCGAAAAATACTTTTATAAAAGTACGGGAAGCAGAGAGTGCGTTGGTGGCATCGATTTATGATTCTGAGGTCCCGACCATTTATTTTGGGTAGCCCGAAGTTGATAGAAAAATGACAGTGGTGGTGATTTTATTGTCATTTTCATGTCTAGACTTCGGGTAACCGTCGGTCCTCGTTAGGCGTGCTGAAAAGTATTCTTCCGAGTTTAGGAATTCGGAATGGAATAGTAGTGGGAGTGCTTTCTTGAAAGCACGAGAACACTAGAAGCCGTACGTAAATTTATTTCACGTTTCGAAGTTTCGAGCATTTATTTTGAGAAGCTCGAAGTCGAGTGTGCATAATAGAAGAAAAAAGCCGTTTTGCGGGGTTCCGTAAGGATGCGTGTGACCTCGGTTTAACGAGAATCGAGTTGGAGCATGTAGACAATACAAGCACGATTCCATACGAACAAATTTTGCATTTTTCGTAGTTCTGAGCATTTATTATGGGAGTTTGAATTTCTGCGTTAAATAGTATCAAAAGGAGCAAATTTGTCGAGGACGAGTTCAATCGTTCGAGGCTTCGTTTTCTCAAAATTTCAGCTTTTCGTCTATTCGAAAGGAGGTATAATTCTTGATTATTATTATAATTGAGTCCGAGATATTTATTAGTATAAATTCGAGTATTTTTCGAGTTAAAACAATCCAGTTTAAGTATACCGGTTTTATTCCGGACTTAGTTTGATTTTTAGAAAAATCTCTAGAGTATTCCCTTATATCCTGCGAAATTTTTTTAGAGCATCCACAAAAGCCCTTTGAGCGCCCTTCCGATGCCGGAGTGGGGGTGGTGCGCCGCGGCAAATTGGGCCCTCCCCGGGATGACCGGCTGGTTTCGCCACTGCATCTGGTCCATCCGTATGAAGGAGTAGAGGCGGAGAGGAATATCGTCAGGGTAAAGAATGCGTCTCTGGGGGGTGGAGGACCCGATGCCAGCGAGAAAGTCAGCAGGCTGGTTCCCCTCGCAGAAGATGTGCGAGATCCGAAAGTGAATCGACCGAAAAGTGGCTCTGATACGCTTGAAAGGGTGTTGAATCTGCCACGTGCCCTGATGTCCAGATGACAAGAGAGTGATGTCAGCGCCAACGTCCAACTCTATCCAAATGTGGGAGGAGATCAAAGCAGCAATCTAAAGACCGATCTTAAGCGCCTGAACCTCCGCGTCATAGCTCGAGGATGCCCGAAGAGAGGCATGATAAGCGGTAATAAGGGCGCCGTTATGATGCCTAATCAGGCCCCCACCTCATGAAACTACAGTAAGTCGGTCAAAGGCTCCATCAATGTTTAGCTTAACCCAAGGCGACTCGGGTTTCAGCCAAACAACAACTCTAGGACGTGGATGCTGGACATGGGCGAGCGGGGGTAGTGCAAGGCGGTGAGGTGGAGTGCAACCTTTCCAGTCTCTCTGGGTGAGTCTTCCCAAGGCGGTGAGGATGGAAAGATGCCGGTCAACCTGTAAAATAATATGGGAACACAAAAAAGGTTATCCATATGCTTCACATTATTCCTTTCTGTCCAGGTGGCCCAAAGGATCATACAAGGAATAAGGAAGCCCAAGTGTCTAATGTGTGTGTTGTTTCTGAAAAAACTCAGAAACTCAAAGAAAGTAACTGTGTAGGGTAGGGGGATATGAGTGTAATCGATATAAAGCTCCCGCAATTTCCTCACAGTCTCGCTCTCCAAAAACAAATGGGTAAAGGTCTCCGTTTGAAAATCGTCGGTCTCAGCACAACAATAGCAACGTTAGGGAAATGACAACCCCCTCGCCCGCATCACGGTGTCAATCGGTAGGCAGCGCAAAGGAGGTGCCATAGGAAAACAGAGATGGTAGGGGTAAGAAGGTCGGTTCAGAAGTCCCTGAAGAGAAGGTTAGGCCAGTCATCCAGTCGTATTTCCCCCAAGCCGAGGTCGTAGAAAATATAACTGAAGATGTAAGCCTCCACCTCATACCGTCCAGACCATCCTATGAGATAGAAATCTATTGAATATCATCTATCACCTGGTCACTAAGGCCCGCCCTAGTGTCGGGTTTCTATTAGGAACTTCGGCAATGTGCACATTAAAATCTATTGAATAATAAATCCTAACGCAACAAAATCTATTGTTAGGATTAGGACTTACGGTTTAAAATTTTTGCCGACTCTGAGACATTTCGAATTTATGTTGATGGAGATCGTCTGAACACCAGAGTCCAATGGGCAGCTGGACTTGGCCTTTCTCGATTCTAATTGAGTCGTCGGGGTGCTCCTATCTCTCATCAAGCTCATCGGATCGTCTCGGACCTTTGGTAGGTTAGCCGGACTGCCCGGGAACCATTCTGGACTCGAACCGGAGCTTCTGGAAGAAGTTGAACTGGTTTGGAGCTTGCTTGCCGCGTCTGGACCTGCTGACAGTGCATCTGGGCCGACTGACACTTGCTGGACTCGAGCTGGTGTGCTTTCCGCGTCACTGGGCCCACTGCTAGAAGTTGGGCCGAAGACATGCTGCAGTATAACCTTTAAACGATCTCTAATAAACTTGGTGGAGCGATTTATTAAATTTTCCCAAGCCTCTCGATCTTCTTCTTCTAAGACCTCTCGACGCTAACCGAATTTTCTCTCAAAGAAGAATCTTTTTTTCTCTCACATATAGGACCAAATTTCTCCAGGCCTTCGGGGTGAGAAAAAGTGTGATACTCATTAAGAGGCTAGGGGACTTAGTGTATTTATAGGCTACAATAGGGACATAAAGGTTGTGATAAATATGAGCTTATTCCTTCAGCTTTAGGAATCCTTATTATCTTTCATCTCTTTTTCTCATTTAGGATAAGATTCCTAATATTTAATTACCTTCTAGATGACTTAATAGTCTCCTAACACTAGGTAATATTCTAAAAGGAATATTTCCATCCTTAGGGAAATATGAAATATACTTAATTCATAATTCCTAATTTAAAATTAAATAAAAAAACATTCCACTAGAGTAATATTATTGATCTCCCCATTTAGCTCTAAATTACAATTAACTCGTCTCCACAGATTAAATATTAATATAAATGACCGATTTATCTCCCCATGTTTAAGATATAACGTCTGTTGATTAATTAAATTACTGACAAAATAATTAATCAACTTCTTATTCATTTCCGAAACTAGTACCACTCAGATCCTTAATTATTACGCCGAATAACACATCCGCCTGCAGGGCTTGACATAATATTCATTCCTGAGCTCATTTTTGGGACGTCATCAACCCAGCGCACTGGAATACAGTGACCGTAAATAATTTATAACGGCAAATCATATAGACACACTCATTTACCAAAATACCGAATATGTCATCTATTGTAGCACAAATTGTTATTATTATTTTACCGAGTACCGAATCGAAGATTCGTTTCTCGGGTCGATCTCTCGAGGAAGACAGTTTGGAATCTAATATTGGTGTTGACACATAAAATAAAAATAAAACCTAAACATTCTAATAAAGATTGATGGGAAAATGATCAACTAAGATAGCAACTAAGAAATAACGATATCTAAAAAAAATATAAATGAAACAATGATAAAGAAACTAGGGAATCAGAAATAATCGCTTCTGGTTCTACACACATTTAAACACAATCAATAACTCGGTTAAATGGTTCGACTAACTAACTCATTTAGCGGTTTAACCTCAATAACTCTCGTAATATGAGGATAAACATAAAAGTGCAAATTAACAAAACAATTAACACATAGACAATACGTCTCCGAACATGTCTACTCTAAACGAGCCAAGTTCCATCAACTTCTCCCCTCTCGGTTTT